TTAAAATAACCTTGGGACCCCCTTCTTCAGGACCAGGACAAGACTTTCTGGGTCTCAGAGAACCCAGATGAGGACCTTTTCCCTGCCTCAGCAGCCAGAGCAAGCCCCGAGCTGCCTGCAGATAAACGCTGCAGCGGGAGGAGCTGAGCCTTGCAGGAATCACCGGGGCTTTGCTCTGCTTCCTCAGCGAGCTTTCTGGCTCCTTTTTTCTGGGACGACTCCTGCAGAAAGAAGTCGGCGCCCGGCTGCCATGCGGCTCTGCCGCCAGGAGATGGAGGCTTTGTCCCACCACACGCTTCATCCCTGCGAAAGCTGCCAAAGGCATCGCCGCCTCCCACCTCGGTGATCCGAGAGGGGATGCAACAAAGCGGAGGGACAGGCAAACAAAAGAATAGATTATTTTTCATCTCGGGGGTTTAAACAACCACAACTGGATAGTGACTGAAAAGACAACGATAAGAGCACGTTGAACACTAACACGGGTTGCAGCTGAAGATCTTCCAAAACCAGAGCATTTGCACAGAAACTGGGAGATGCTGCTAGGAAAGGAGCTGTGACCTCTCCTTCCCCAGACAGAGCATCCATCAACACAAATTATACAGCGAAGCTCCAACCAGAGCACGCAACCTGTGCAGGCAATCGGGTCCTGAACACAACTCTGTCTCTGTGTTTCACTGGCACATCCCATCACCACTCATCCCACCTTATCCCGCTGTGGAGCACCGCAACCTCGCACAGCACAGACCGGGCTGCAACATCCCGGGAGCAGCAAGAAAACAAAGCTATTTGGTGCCCTGCCAGAGCCCACGGGGGACATGGGGACAGGCAAGTGACAGATCTTGGCTCAGAAAAGCATCTCCAGCACACTGAGCTTAAAAATACGGTGTAAACCCAGCTACCGTACTGGAGCTACTCAGGTGACCACAGCAAGCCTGGATTTAAACAAAGCTTGTGACAGGCCCAGTGGGCATTTCACAAGTATTTCTGCTCGCCGAATTGATCCTGTCTCTGCATTTATTTTTGCACATGTCTTTTTCTGGCAAACCAGAAAGGACCAGAACACCCTGAGCACAGCACTCCCTCGTGCACTGGAGAGCAGCCACGGGGAGCCACCCGTGTGCCCTGCCACCACGCAGGGCTGCAGAAGGGGAGCAGCAGCGGGGCCCTGCTCCTCAGTGCCCACCGACTCCATCTGGCCTCCGGCACGATGGGCAAGCGTGGGCAGCTTGTCTTTTTCTGGCAAACCAGAAAGGACCAGAACACCCTGAGCACAGCACTCCCTCGTGCACTGGAGAGCAGCCACGGGGAGCCACCCGTGTGCCCTGCCACCACGCAGGGCTGCAGAAGGGGAGCAGCAGCGGGGCCCTGCTCCTCAGTGCCCACCGACTCCATCTGGCCTCCGGCACGATGGGCAAGCGTGGGCAGCTGCCATGGCTCCCCGTGATGCAGACAGCTGCCTGCCGTCCCGCAGCCCACCTCCCTCCGACCTCTCCATGGCCATCAGCCAGCCAAAACCGTCTGTCCCCAGCCACACCGCCTGCATCCGCATCGGTGCCCACAGAGCAGCCGCCTCCTGCCCATGCAGCTCTCCTGGGCTGTTGTCACCTGCCTTGGGGCAGCGGGTGCAGGCAGAGCACTGGGTGACACCGGCACCTGAGGCTCAAGCTCAGGTCCTGATGGTCTGGTGGGAAAAAAAAGCTGATTTTCACCTCTGCAAGCATCGTTTCTGGATGGCAGGGAGCAGCTGTGTGTGTAGTGCCAGCCTGTCACTCTCACAAAGTGGCTCTGTCTCCCGGAGGATGGTGGAGTGCCACGCTGGCCCAGGTGTGGGGACCCTGCAGCCCCCAGGTGGGGTGGCACCCCTCACCCCTGCTGCTCTGTCCCAGAGTCTCTCCTCTGCAGATAAGCAGTGACACATCCACCACCAGCTCTTGCTCTGCTGAATCTGCAGGTGCCAAGTGTTCAACTCCATCTCTTGGCAGAAAGGATAACTTTTACTTTCTGCAGGTGGCAGAGGCCAGGCTCCACTCCCTTTCCCCAGGGAACGCCCCAAACCTCTCCTGTTGGCAGCCGCGCTCCTTTTTCACAGGCAGGCTGCAGAGGTGAACCAAGCACTCTCCAAGAGAGGAGAGGAAGAGGAATTTCAGGGTATTTTCTGCATGTTTTGCTTGGCCAGAGCTCAGCTCCTCATCATTCCACCTATCCCAGCCCATGGGCTGGCTCCACATGGGGCAGAGGACAGCAAGGCCTTGGGGCTTCCAGCCCTGATTCTGCACCATCCCTTTGGGGGACTTGCAGCATTTTAAAGAACAGAGCCTTCTAAACATCTCTTAGTCCTTGTGGATTAGTTTGCAGAAGTAAGCTACCAGGGTTTTTGCAGGTACACTGCATCCACGTGGGGTGATCCCAGCCCCAGCTAGGAGGAGCCGAGATTCCCCTGTGTGGATACAGCGACACAACCAGGGGAGCTCTGCAGCTCCCCTGCCCGCTCACCTCTCGGGCACGGCCAGCTTCAGCGGTGGCACCGGGCAGAAGAGTTTCTCAGGTTGGAGCTGTGGGACCACATCCCCTCCATGGTAGCTCACTCCAGATTAACACCCTCACAGTGAGGGTGAAGCAGTTTCTCCAAGCTTGCAAAGTCAAGACCAATCTCCACACCAAGACATCTGCAGTTCCTTGTGCTCCTGCTTTCACCCTTCAGCCTTTAAAAGGACTTGAAACGTTATCGCCTCCCCTCCTGCCGCGCTGAAGAAGAGCCCCTCTGGCTTTCCAGCGTGGATTTGCAGTACCTGGTAGCAATGTCTAATATCACAGGTGGCCTGAAAGCAGGAGCACCCAAACTCCTGCAGATGGAGTGAAAACCAACGGTGTCTCTTCATCTCTGAATGATCTGGCACAGCATGAAGACAGTACACGACAATAACTGGATTCTCCAAGTACCATCAACCTGGCCCAGCCTGTGGCTGGCTTTCCTTTAAGGAGCTGTGGCTCTCCTTTAACTTCAGTGGCACCTGTAGTCTTTTTCTTAGCTCGGTGACCTAGAAACTGCATTAAGATGTCAAGAGAACACACAACACATTGGAGAAGCCATTTCCCAAGGATCAGAGAAACCCTGATTACCAAGAGATGTGCCTGCAGCCAGGGCACTCCTCATTCAGTTATCAGCAGTATAAATAAATACACCTTACAAACTGAAAATCCACACACTCTTATTCTGATCCCAGTGACATCAGTGGGTGCAGTCCCTTCAAGTGTAAGCCCAGTGATGAAGTGACAAGGAAAAAAAACATTATCTCCTACAATAGACCCAAACCAGGGGACAAATCGATACTGAGCACTAAATCATTGTAATTAAAACTACTTTACGGCTGGGGATACAGTAGCTGATTCAAGTAGCAGTGAGGTAATGCAATGGGAACAGGTGGCATTTTTTCCCTCATTTTTCCCCCTCCTGAGTAATGTTTAAATCAATTACTGTAAAATTAATGACTTTTGCAAGCAATTTGCTGAGAGGGTGGGCTGGGGGATTGTCGCTAGCTGGGTTCCTAGCCACCCTGCAGACAATTTAGAAAAAAATCAGTGTGAAAGGCTTCTAACAACAACAAAAAAGCTACTACCATGAGTTTTATGAATATACTTTCCAAGCAGAGAATCACAGAAACATAGAAGGCTTAGAGATAACAAGCAGTCAACTACTCTGTCTCCTGATATATTCAAGAAGAGCTAAGTTATCCTCCATGTTA